ATAAGTGTTTTCATTTTATATTTTCTTATTATAAAAACTCTGATGTTCTTTAGAGATGTAAAAATTCTGAAAATGTCCTTTTTCCCCCCCGAAAAAAGGTTTTTCCCCCCTTTTTTCCTTCTTTAGAGATGTAAAATTTCTGAAAATGTCCTTTTTTCCCCCGAAAAAAGGTTTTTTCCCCCTTTTTTTCCAGGAAAATTTGAATTTTGAGGAAATTTTGCATTTTTCTGGTGCCACCACTGGAGAGAAAATTCTAGTAATTCAATGGTTTAGACTCATTCAGCAAGATTTGAACATGCAAAGTGTTTTCTTTCTCTTACACACAGGAATGTAAAATTTCTGAAAATGTCCTTTTTTCCCCCGAAAAAAGGTTTTTTCCCCCTTTTTTTCCAGGAAAATTTGAATTTTGAGGAAATTTTGCATTTTTCTGGTGCCACCACTGGAGAGAAAATTCTAGTAATTCAATGGTTTAGACTCATTCAGCAAGATTTGAACATGCAAAGTGTTTTCTTTCTCTTACACACAGGATAATGTTGCATAGTAAGAAATACCTTAGCATACATGGGTTTTTTTCTTTCAAAAGGGAAATGAAAGGAGTCTATACATATAGAGTGCAAAACTACTATCCACAACCCAAATATACCGCTAGTATGCATATATGTATACATACATATAGATATATGCATACATGATTTATTTTATTTGTAAATCTATAAACAACCTGGTATCCACAAAGATCTCAGGATGATAAGTACAGAGAGCATTTTAAAAGGACAAATACATTATAACAATATACCATTACAAATTTAGTGACAAAATCTTTTTATAAGCAAGCAAAAACAGTCCATTAAAATCATAAACATTTGTTAAGTTTGACACAGAATCTGAATGTGCGTGTCTATATTTTAACTTTATATCATAATGGTTGTTGTGGGTTTTTCGGGCTCTTTGGCCATGTTCTGAAGGTTGTTCTTCCTAACGTTTTGCCAGTCTCTGTGGCCGGCATCTTCAGAGGACAGCACTCTGTGCTCTGGTGTAGTTTGCTTGGGAGTGAGTATTTATGGCTGTGAGATAGGCTTTTGTCCTTTTCAGGAGATGGGTGATTAGTGTGTCCTGTTGTGGGTGTATTGTTGTCGTAAGGAGGAGAGACTATCTGTCACTGTGATTGATGGGTGTCATTAGCTGGTCTTTTGTGTGTAGTGACCCCCGGTTTTTGTGGATGGGTATATCATAACTTTCTGCCAGTAAGTTCAACATGGTGTGTACCTAACTTTCAGAGTTAAAAAGTGAGTTTGAACGCTTTCTGAATTCACAGAAATTATTTAATATTTTCTAGTGCAAACTGACAAAAGGGCAATAGGATTATGCCATTTATCTTATTAGCAAGTGCGTGCCTTCCTTAACCAGAACTGTGACTCCTGCTGTTAATTCACAGCCTGATACTTGAAAAGATATTCCCTTGAAAGGCAATTAGTGGGAATCAATTAGAGGAACATGAAATGCTATCTTAGAGGAACTCTGCCACATGCCTTAGAAAGGAAAGAACAATTGAGAAGTACACCTTTATGAAACAGATCTCAATATGGCTTATTTTATATTATTTGTATTGTTCTCTTCAATCCTTCCCCCCACCCTTTTTTAAAGTTGTTTTGAAGAGGCCAGATGAATTTGTCTATGGTATTTGGCTAAAAAATAGTGAAGGTTTAAACTTTAAAAGGTTCAGTGGCTGCTAGATTGAAACCAAATGGTTATGTGGCTGTTTAGATCTGCTTTATTAGTAAAGAATGAGAGTGCAACATAAAAATATATTCAGTTCTTTTTTTAAAAAAATGCAGCTTATGAATGTGAGATTTAGTGCTTTTGTACCTATCATTCAAAAAGCCAGGAAAGGGCCCAATATTGCTGCACAATATCATGCCCACGCTGCCAGCAGGAAAAAGGATGCCAAACTTTATATTGCAAAGGGCAGCCTGAATGCTGACAACATCAATGGCAGCAGTCAAGATGGTCTACAAGATACCCTACTCTTCTCAGTACTATTTGGCCATTGGGTGAGAAGTGGTGAACTGATGAAAAAAGGAGTCAGCTTCTGGGATTTTCCCTTATGTGGTGTCACTTTGTGAATGGTAGTGGTGCTGAGGGAATCCCGTTCAACACCTTTACCATTGGCCTGTGGGATGCCTCAGGGTTCGATGATTCACCATACTATTTCATATATACATGAAAAACCTGAAAGAGTGTGTCCAGAATTCTGTGGCCTGGTACTCCATCTGATTCTTAAGATCTTCCAGGAGGCCCTTTTCTCAGTCACTCAAGCCGCAGTGTGTGGACACCAATATCATAATTTGTCACAAGGTCTTATGTTATGTTATGTTGTGAACTGAATTATGTTGGAGCTGACATAAAGCAATCATGACATGACGTGATATATTATATGTTATGTTACATGACATATCATGCTGTGTCATGTCACATAATGACATAGCTTAACATGTCATGCCATTGCATGCCATGACATAACCAGGCATATCATCATATATGTTATACTATGTGACATGTCATTGTGTGTCATTGTGACAAAGCTTAACATGACATGAAGTCATAGTGTTTCATGACAGAACCCGGCCTGTAATGATATATTATGTTATATTACATGACATGTCATGCTGTGTCATGGCATATTTTGACATAGCTTAACATTTCCTGATGTCATGTTCTGTCATGACATAACCCAGCATGTCTTGGATATTTCAAGGTGGGTCATGTCACCTCGTGTGTTATATAGCTTAGCAGGTCATGACATCATGTCATGTCATAACATAGCTTAACATGTCATGACATATCCTAAGATGCCATTAAGCAATGTCATAACCAGGTGTGTCATGATATAACCTAGCATGGCATGGCATGTCATAGCTTAACATGTTGTGACATGGCTTAACAAATCATGACATCGTGGCACCCTCATGTATACAAATCTCATGATCCTGTTCCCCAAGTTTTCAGTGAACTTTCATAAACCATATAGGAAGTCCCATGGAAAAGTATGCATTTTGCTGAAGAGGCATACTTCACTAAACAAAACAGCATGGCAACAATCCAATAAAACACACAGGGAGGCCAATGTGAGGAATTTATCTTTTCCAAAGTAACAGACTAGAGGCAACATCCTGATTTGCAACACAGTATTACACACACTGGTTTAAAGGTCTACAAATATGCATATATAACTACAGTGATGACCCCGCTTGATGATGACTCCGCTTGATGACAAAATCACTTTACGATGATTTTTGAGATCGTAAAATGATGTTTCTATGGGGGTTTTTTTTAGCTTAATGTCGATTTGGCCCCTGCTTCGGGAACCGTTTTTTCGCAAAATGACAATTATAAACAGCTGATCGGCGGTTCGCAAAATGGCTCCCTGCTGTTTTCTGGACCAATTGTTCGCAAGACAGGGATCCCAAAATGGCCACCCTATGGAGGATCTTCACTGCACAAGCAGGTATTTCCCCCAATAGAACGCATTGACCGGTTTTCAACGCATTCCAATGGGCTTTTTTTTTTTTTTTTGCTTGATGACGATTTTGCTGTACAGTGATTTTACTGGAACGGTTTAACCTCGTGAAGTGGGGCACCATTGCATTGGTAGGAAAAGAATAGTAACCTTCACAGAATCCATGTATGTATATGATTCCAATGCCACTAAGATTATACATACATAAACCTTGATAAAACATGCGATATTTCCAACTGTACAAAAATACTACAGAATTATCAACAATCTCTCAGATAACTTATAAATATAATAATACGCTTCAATTTAATCCATGCTATTGAGGCAATTCACATTAGTGCCTCTTAGGACTCTCTGCTTGTTCATTGAAAAAATCATAGAAGTCATTTCTGGTTTCATATAAAAGATTAAACTATAATGCACAGTTGTAAGACTTTCTATTAAGATTATTCAGGCTGAAAAATGTCTAAGTAGCAATTACAGCAACCCTTATCAATTTGCTGGAATGTGGATTATTTATATACAGATTTTTGAGAAGTAAAATTCTATTCCTAAATTATAGTAGTCTGTTCAGCTCATCTGCTAGTTGGAATATTATTCAGTACTGACAGATACGTTTACTGAAACACTATTAATTATCTAGCCCTTCAGTATATACTTTGCTTTATATATTCTTATACTTTTCACAACAGTCCCTGGGAAATAAAACTGAAATTGAGTAGTCTGTTCAGCTCATCTGCTAGTTGGAATATTATTCAGTACTGACAGATACGTTTACTGAAACACTATTAATTATCTAGCCCTTCAGTATATACTTTGCTTTATATATTCTTATACTTTTCACAACAGTCCCTGGGAAATAAAACTGAAATTCAAATGGCAAATTCAAATAACTTGTAACAAGGAATGAGGCAAAGTTGCCCACTCCTTGCTACATGCAAGAGGGATGGCTAACCTTAGCAGATCCCACATTACACCAAGTCTACTTGAAGTAGCTACCAATTGCTCTCCACTATCCCTAGGAGATATCCTGTTTTTGTTGATGGGAAATCAGCTGGCTGCCTTTTCCCTTCCCATACCAGTCCCATTTTTCCCTTCCTGCACCACTGCCATTGACATGAGGGCAAGGGAAATAATTGTCAGGAACCCTGCTAGTCCAGCTCTGCCCTATCTCGAAATCAGCAAGCCAAGGAAACCAACAAGTCACATCTTGTTTCCTGTAAACGTCTAATCTTTATTTATTGAAATATCATCTAATGTGGTCTGTGCCTTAGGAAGCTTGTCTGAAAAAGAATTATTGTAATAATAAATTGCAAGAAGTGACTTTCCTTTTATTGTGTTTTATGGTTTTTTTATGACAGCAAAAAGGAGTGGTGTTTAAAAAGTACTGTAATTGGATTTTTCCCCTACTTAAAAAAAATACAGCATACAGTCAAGAATATCGAAGGACTATTAAAAAGTTAGAAAATTAATTGATACTTACTTTGCTTTTGCTTCAGCATCTTCATATGCTTTATTGGAAACATCATCCAGACCTCCAATCAAATGTTTGAAAGAGCTGTAATATAAAAGGGCATCTTTTAAAAAAAGGTTGCTAGTATAATCAAAGCATTGCAAACACTACTCATTAAGTATGTTATTTCAAGAAAGTTTCAAAATACAATGGAGAACCATTCCACCCTCCCTTTGAATAAATCAGCAACAGCTTATTGTCCACAGTCTGCCTCTTGCAGATAGAGATGTTTGCTCTCTTTGTCCATGGATCCATATGCACAGCTACAATGCTTCAAAAAGTGAATAAAAATAAACAGGCAAGACAGCATTTTCTAGGTGATATTTGTTGATAGGCAACATGGAGGCCCTTTCTATCCATTTTAATGATGGTTCATCTCCAAACCAAACAAGTGGAGGTTTTCAGGGAGAATGGCTTCAAATTCCATGCCCCCTACGCTGAATCTTCATCTTACTCATCAAAGCAAACAATGAGTGTGTCTTTATCACACAGCCCTATTCTGATATTATGGTGATGCTGCTTCAAGTGTCATTGCTTTGTCAAGAAAATAAATAAATAAATAAATAATAAAATGCTCAAAATCTGACCACTGATCATAATAGCAAGGAAACCAAATGAGTACCCAGCTCTCTGAGGAGCAAAGTATTGTTTGCATAACTATTTTGCAAACCACCCAGGAAGTGCTTTAGCAGTATGGGGTGGTGTGTAAATTGAAACAACAACAAGAACAATTACTTCCCATTTCAATTAACAACTAACTAAGGAACAGATCCTGAATTAAAATAGCATTTCAAAATAAAATGTGTTGGAGGTTGCTAATTATTGCTGAATTAAATAGTGTATTAAAACTTATTTTTCACGTTGTTCATTTTGCACAAGAAATTCAGATGTATTAGAGATATGGGAAGGCCTTAAGATTAAGGTGAGCATGGAGAATATGCAGTCTGTGGGCTGTGTGAAGGTTCCTGTCCCTTTTCAATCCCTAGACCATCCTCAACTGCCACTGCCAGACAAAATTAGGTCCAAAACTAGGGGAATTTTGCTCATGGAATGATGATACTACTCTATGTAAGACACAGCCTTTCTATAGATAAACTGTCCTTTTCTGTTCTGTTCTGTATTGTTTTTAAAAGAAGTGAATATCCAGTTGCTTCTTGTTTTGTAAAAACCTAGCAAACTTTGTATTTTGGCAGGTTTGTGGTGACAGGCAGGCCCTGAGTGTTAAAATAAGGCCACAGAAACCAAACATTGCCTGCCCACGGGGAAGCTAAGGAACATACTTCCAGGAGAGATACAGTTGTCCCACAAACTCTTGTCTTTAGGTGCCAATTAAAAACATTTCAGAGAATGTTCTGTTTCAGGGAATAAGCAAGTGCTAAATTTGCCATTCGCCATTCTTTGTTCATATGGTATTTTTAGGAAATATTTTGAACTATGATTTCAGATGTGCATCTGAATAGGTTAATGTTCATAAAAATGTGAGCCAAATAAAACGTGATAGTATGTAACATCCCATTAGGCTCTCCGTTGTAATTTTAGATGTATGAAATCTGTAGATTTCTGATTCAGGCACAACTGTAACTGTTATTTTAATTTGGTGTGTGTGTGTGTGTGTGTGTTGTGTTGTGTTGTGTTGTGTTGTGGTGTGTGTGTGTGTGTGTGTGTGTGTGTGTGTGTGTGTGTGTGTGTGTGTGTGTGTGTGTGTGTGTGTGTGTGTGTGTGTGTGTGTGTGTGTGTTGCTAGATGCTCTGGATTCTTATGAGGTCTTAATTCCAGAAGAATGTCCATGGAGGTAGGGCCCCCCTCCTCACCCCAGAATCCTAATTATTTTGATTTATACAGTGCATTGCACTGACACACACTATGCATGGAAATTGCCCTAACAAACCACTATGCAGCTTTCTCCTCACCTAGAAAAATTCTTGCAGAGGCTCTTGTTTAGTGAGTATAAAAGCGCTGCCATAGAAATTAAACTTCAGCAACTCTCTGAACCAATTATACGGAAGTTGCCTTTTTGACTTTCTTTTCCAGTCCATGGTAAAATATAAGCCAAAAATACTACTGCATATAACAGAACCACAGCAAATGGATTTCACAGCTTTTGGCACGTGGAATTATATGCTTACTTTATTATCTTCTCTAGCCACTCATCTGCATTTTCTGCTTTACTTGCCATTCATGCTTCTTATTTTAAAAAGCACATACACATATCCCATTAAATAATGTATCACTGCACACCAGCACCTCTAGTTAATTAATAGCAAAATGTGCATTTCAGCACTCTTAAGTCATGAATCAAATAATAATTTTAAGAACAATAATGGAGAACATGACACTACTGATTAGCTAAAAGCATATAATAGAAGAAAGCCTGAAGTTAAGATATGAGAATTTGTAATAATTTAACATCCCCCCCCAAAAAAACCCCAGTTAGCCTCAATTCTATATAAATAACACAAACCAGATACACTTGGAGGGGAAGTAGTGAGCACTCAAACACTAAAGGTATTCACACTTGTCAAAAACAGCTCTGACAATTGCTTTGTGTTTAGGTGAGAAGTGCTTAACTGATTTAAAAAAGGAGTCAGCTTTTTGGATTTTCCCTTGGTGGCGCTGTGGGCTAAACCGCAGAAGCCTGTGCTGCAGGGTCAGAAGACCAAGCAGTCGTAAGATCGAATCCACGCGATGGAGTGAGCGCCCGTTGCTTGTCCCAGCTCCCGCCAACCTAGCGGTTCGAAAGCATGCAAATGCGAGTAAATAAATAGGTACCATCTCGGTGGGAAGGTAAACAGTGTTCCGTGTCTAAATCACACTGGCCATGTGACCACGGAAAGATTGTCTTCGGACAAACGCTGGCTCTATGACTTGAAGAGCGGGATGAGCGCCGCCCCCTAGAGTCGGACACGACTGGACAAAAATTGTCAAGGGGAACCTTTACCTTTACCTTTATGGTCACTTTGTGAATGGTAGTGAGCAGAGGAGGGGATCTGTAGACCATCTTGACTGCTGCCATTGGTGTTGTCAACATTTAGGCTGCCCTAAAGCTCGGCATTCTTTTTCCTGCTGGCAACAGGGGCATGATATTGTGCAGCAATATCAGGTAATTTATTGGTTTTTTGAATCATGGACACAGAAGCACAATCTCCCACATTCATAAGCCAGAAGGGTTTTTTTTTAAAAAAAAGAATTTAATTAAATAATTAAATGATACTGTGTTGCAGATGGCAGGAGTTAAGTATATATAATGGCCCTGTTCAATGAGCTGTGAGAAGTACAGCTTTTAGATAACTTTCTGACCATGATGTATTACTTGACTTAGACGGGCACATCCATTACAAAAGAAGACCTCCCCCAAAAAGCCCACTCTCTCACAGCAGCTGGGTGAAAGGCAAGCATGGTGTGCTTTATAGTTCCCAGTTGCTTTACTCTGTTTCTTTGACTGGGGCTTTACTAGTCAACAGCTTCACTTGTCTCCTACACTGTGGAACAGGGCACTGTTACTGTAAGGTCTTGGTATTTTAATTCAGGAAATAATAGGGTTGGAGCCAAACAAACTGTGGTGCCCAGGTTGCAAGAAGGAATAGGGGAAAGAATGCTCCAAAAGAGGGAGCAATAAAGGAATTTCCCTAAGATATGCATGCCCACAAGCACACACAAACATTGAAAAAAGTGGGGGTGGAGAATAGATGGAGACATCACGAATGCATGGATAAAAAAAGTCTTAAAGATAGATAGAAGGTGGTAGAAATCACCCTCCATTTTGACAGGCTGTTTGGAGGGTACTGTTAACTGCAGAAAAGGAAAATCCTGAATAGAGATGCCAAGAGAGGGCAGACTAATAAAGGCCAGTCCCAGAAATTTAGGAGAGAAATGTAACAGGACTCTCTGGCTATATTCTCAATTCAGAGGGATGAAAAAGAGATGTCAGCTTAGGAAGACCTCTCTCAAAAACAAGGCAGGTCTTCAGCAGTAGGCTTTTAGGCATGTTAGATTTCAAGCAGAAATTGAGACAGCAAAAAGACCCACATCAAGATGAAAATGATGCCATTTTATGCTTCTTTTAAGGATATTTGGGATGGTTTCCCTCTCTCTGACATCCTCAGACTGTGCCCTTCTACTCTTCCACAGAGTCTTCCAACCTGCTCATAGCCTTGCATATCTTGCTAATCAAGCCTTTATGGCCTTATTCCGCTCAGGAGTAGCAAAGTATCAAAACCAACAAATTAGCTAAGGGATCCATCTGGCTATTGAAAGGAAATATCTGAGGATGCTTTGATTTTTTTTAAAAAAAGAATTAATGCCTCTGGGCTGATTGTTGTCTTAAATCTGTGCATTTTATAAGCTTTAAAAAGCATATATTCTCTGCAGCCAAAGATGGAGAAGCTCTATACAGTCAGCAAAAACAAGACCTGGAGCTGACTGCGGTTCTGATCATCAGCTTCTCATAGCAAAATTCAAGCTTAGACTGAAGAGAGTAGGAAAAACCACTGGGCCACTCAGGTATAATCTAAACCAAATCCCTTATGAATACACAGTGGAAGTAAAGAACAGATTTAAGGAACTAGATTTGGTGGACAGAGTGCCTGAAGAACTTTGGATAGAGGCTCGTAACATTGTCCAGGAGGCAGCAACGAAAACCATCCCAAAGAAAAGGAAATGCAAGAAAGCAAAGTGGCTGTCCAACGAGGCCTTAGAAATAGCAGAGAGGAGAAGGGAAACAAAATGCAAGGGAGATAGGGAAAGTTACAGAAAATTGAATGCAGACTTCCGAAGAATAGCAAGGAGAGACAAGAGGGCCTTCTTAAATTAACAATGCAAAGAAATAGAGGAAGATAACAGAAAAGGAAAGACCAGAGAGCTGTTCAGGAAAATTGGAGATATTAGAGGAACATTTTGCGCAAAGATGAACATGATAAAAGACAAAAATGGGAGGGACCTAACAGAAGCAGAAGACGTCAAGAAGAGGTGGCAAGAATACACAGAGGAATTATATCGGAAAGATTTGGATATCCCGGACAATGCAGACAATGTAGTTGCTGACCTTG